AGCAGCTGCAAAAAGTGCAGCCGCAGACTCCTCTTCTCCCTTCAGTGAAGGTCCAGTCGCAACCGCAGCCGCCCCTGCAGCCGCCGGCTCACCCCGCGGTGCAGCAGCTGCAGCACCAGCCGCCGCCGCGGCCCATGCACATGCAACCCATGCCCTTCCCATCCCACATCCCCCAACCCCAACCTCCGCCGCAGCAACATCCGCCCCCGCAACCGCCCCCACCGCCCCCACCGCCGCAGCCGGCCAAACCGCAGCAGGTCATCCAGCATCACCCATCGCCGCGGCACCATAAGCCTGATCCCTACTCGACCGGTGAGCGGGAGTTGGGGACGGCGGTTGAGTCTACGGCTTGAGCCTAGTTGCACTGCGTGATGAGGAAGGGGTATGGGGCGGTGGGGCGGTTTCCATGTGTCCTCTGAGCTCCGCCAGTCCCCGTTGGTAGACGATGGTGTGGAGGGAGCCCCGGTTAGCCAGAGTCTGACGTAACCGCCCGGTGAGGCCTCTTTCTGTCTCAAATCCTCAAAAATTTGAGGGTATCAGGTATTGAAAGGTCTTGAGGATCTCAAGTTTTTGAAGATGTAGAGGTTCTCAAATCTTTGAGGAACTTGAGGATCTCAAGTTTTTGAGGATCTTGAGGACCTCGAATTTTTGAGGATCTCAAGGATCTCTGCTCTTTGAGGAGCAAGGATCTCAATTTTTTGAGGATCTGAATCTCGAGGTTCTCAAATTGTCCCTTGACGATCTTGAGGTTCTCAAATCTTTGAGGAACTCAAGGATCTCAAGTTTTTTAAGATCTCGAGTGTTTCAGGATCTTGAAGTTCTCATTTCTGAGGACCTCGAGGTTCTCAGGTCTTTGAGGAACTCAAGGATCTCAAGTTTTTTAAGATCTCGAGTGTTTCAGGATCTTGAAGTTCTCATTTCTGAGGACCTCGAGGTTCTCAGGTCTTTGAGGATCTCAACAATCTCAAATTTTTGAGGAACTCGAGGTTCTCAAATCTTTGAAGACTTCAGGGTTCTCAAGTTTTTGAGTCTCAGTGCAGCACTGATGTCAGAGAGCACTGGCTTCACCTTCACCGCTGTCCCAGCTGGGTGCCAGCATTGAGTAGTGTCTCTCAAGGCAGCAGAGGGTCAGCTCCCTGCTCTTAGAGAAGGTCAGGCCTGTGGATGCCCTGCGAGGGTTTCCTGGTGTTTTTCGGAGTGCGCCCTCCAGTAACGCAGCTGCTTGGCTGCCAGGTGGAGGAGAAGGGATGATCTGGGGGTAAACCTGGTGTGACGACCTCCAGCCATCCGAGAAATTGGAGGAAGCAGCCGGGATAATGTGGCCGCAGGGCTCAGCCTTCAAGGTTGGCTTGGGAGATCCCAGATCTCCACGATGGCCGTGCGCTCAGTGGTGCCACCACCGATGTTCCAGATGGGGAACATCTCCAGCCAGGATAACTCCCGACAGTGTTGTGTTTTTGAGACCAGCCACCCATAAAACCTCTGCGGTTTGGTGAGGCCTCGCTCCTGCTTTCATTTGGCCACGTGGTTCTCCAGGTTGTTGCCCATCAGGTCTTTGCTCCTGAAATCATCCTGCTCAGCACCACGTGGGCATAGGCAGGAAAAAATCCCTGGATTTGAAGGGATGGAGCCAGGTGAAGGCAGGCAGCGCTTGGAGCCGCTTCTCTTGCCTGTAGAGCTGCCATAGGCAGCTTGGTCGTGATGCCTGAGATGGCAAGTTTGGACATGATGATTGCCCAAAATGGAGCCTGCTGGCTCCCAAAAACCTCCCCATTGCTTGTAGAGCCAACACGTCCTGTGTCCGTGGCTCTGGGCAGGGAGAGGTGCAGGCAGCGGGAAGTGCAGGCAGGGCAGTGTCAGTGCTTGGGTGTCCTAGGGGAATGGCTTTACAGCTGGGAATATTGATGGACCACCAGGAGAATGAGCAGAAGGGGTTGAATTATGGGGAGGACACCACAAACGAGCATCACCAAGGCGGGCGGGACAAGCCACCGCGCGGCCTCAGAGCATCTTCTGCTCCCCGGCGTTGGCTCATGGCGGTGGTACCCACTGGAAGGAGGTGGCTGGGGTCCGTTGGGGACATCCCAGAGCCACCACACTTCATCCAGGAAAGCGATTGTCCCATGGGGTGATGGCGTGCGCCGATCAGCTTTTTCGGGTGATGTTTGGCGTGCCGGTGGTGACGACGGTTAACTGATTGATGCCAAACTGTTCCCAGGTCACTTGAGGGAAGCCCCTTCCCCTCTCATGATGCATTCCCCACAGATGCCGCAGTTCCAGGGTTTGGTCCACCAGTCGCCACCTCAACAAACTATCCAGCCAAAAAAACAGGTAAAAAGGAAAGCAGAGCACCCAACCGGGGGGGTCCCGACCAACGGGGACCATCGTCTTCCCACCACCGGCTTGGGAGCAAGCGCCGAAAGTCCAGGGGCCGTTAGCCAGCGGTTTGCATCGGGAATTTGAGGAGGGGGGGATGAGGGAAGGGCATCACTGAATGTTTCTTGAACCTTTTTTTTTCGTGGCAGGAGATGAGAGCCGCCTCCGTCGTCCAATCTCAACCCATGGTGGTGAAGGAGGAGAAGATGCATTCGCCCGTCATCCGTAACGAGACCTTCAGTCCCCCGTTGCGGCAAGATCCACCGAAACACCCGGAGAGCATCAAACCGCCCGCGCACATCCCGCAACGTGAGTCCGGGGATGCGCCGCTTCAGATTGTCCCCCCCAGTTTTGGTGGCAGAGACCCCATTACCCCCTATTTCAGCAGCTGAGACCCTATCACCCCCCATTTTGCTGGCTGAGACCCCCATCGCCCCCCATTTTGGTGGTTGAGACCCCCATCACTCCCTGTTTTGGTGGCTGAGACCTCCATCGATTCCGCCTCACCATGAGGTTCCTGGGGGACCCCAATAACCTCTGACGGAAGCCCCTGGTTTTTAGGGACGGAGATGAAACCCATGGAGGGGGGACGACCTGTCATTAGACCCCCGGAGCAAAACCCCCCACCACCAGGAGTGCAGGAGAAAGATCGGCAGAAACAGGAGCCGAAAACACCCGTCGCCCCCAAAAAGGTAACGTACCCTGGCAAAAATTAGGAAAAAACCTCCCAAAATTCAGAATTAAACCTCCTAAAATTAAGCAGGACCGTGTTGCTCACCTGAATCTTGGCGTACGGCCAAGATTTGATGTTTTCCACCTCCAAATTTCCCATTCGGAGATGGAAAGTGCCCGATGGAGGTTGGAGAGGTAGAAATGGGATCCCCACCAAGCTGAGGGAAGGGATGCAATCCATAGGGACCCGGACAAGCTCCAGAAGTGGGTCCGTGAGAACCTCCTGAGGTTCTACAAGGCCAAGTGCAAGGTCCCGCACCTGGGTCGGTATCGGTACAGGTTGGGGGATGAAGGGATGGCGAACAGCCACACGGAGACAAGGACTTGAGGGTGTTGGTGGATGGAAAGCTGGATATGAGCCGGCAATGTGTGCTTGCAGCCTAGAAAATCAACCGTATCCTGGGCTGTGTCAGAAGAAGCGTGGCCAGAAGGTCGAGGGAGGGGATGCTCCCCCTCCGCTGTTCTGAGAACTCCCCTGGAATCCTGCATCCAGGTCTGGGGTCCTCAGGACAAGAAAGACATGGACTTGTTGGAGCGGGGCCAGAGAAGGCCATGAATATGATCCAAGAGCTGGAACACGTCTCCTGGGAGGACAGGCTGAGAGCATTGGGGTTCTTCAGCCTGCAGAAGGCTCTGGGGAGACCTTCTTGTGACCTTCTTATAAGAAAGATGGAGAAAGAGTTTTTACCAAGACCTGTAGGACAAGGGACAACGGTTTTAAACCAGAAGAGGGTAGATTTAGATTGGACCTAAGGAAGACATTTTTTACGATGAGTGTGGTGGGACACTGAAACAGGTTGTCCCAGAGAAGTTGTGGATGCCCCATCCCTGGAAGTGTTCAAGGTCAGGTTGGAGAGGGCTTTGAGCAACCTCATCTGGTGGAAGATGTCCCTGCCCATGGCAAGGGGTTGGACTGGATGACCTTTGAAGGTCCGTACCAACCTAAACCAGTCTATGAAAACCTCCCTGCTCATGCAGGAGCCCTCAGAGGAGAGTTTTGCCTGGAGCCGAGACAGGGATGGACCCAACGGGGTCACCCACGGGTGACGGAGATCCCCCACCCCATAACGGAACATCCCCTGCAAGAGCAGCCACTGCGTACAGCGGGTTTGCACGATGCCAAGGGCATCCCAGTATAGCTCCATGCCGGCACTGGGGGCTAACCAGTCCTTGCCGGAGCTGCTCATCTCCCAGCACCCACAAAGCACCGGCGGCACGGCTTCCCCGGCACCGAGGGTGGCGAGACGCTGGCAAGAGGTTGCTCAGAGGTTGAAGATGTCCCTGTTCATGGCAGGAGGGTTGGACTAGGTGACCATGAAAGGTCCCTCCCAACCCAAACCATTCTGTGATTCTCTTAAGTGGGAACGGGGAATGTGAGGTGCCAAAGCAGCCAGTCCTGCTCCCAGCATTCCCAGGAAGGGGTCAGAGCTGCCCGCTTGGCTTTGGGGGAGGAGATGCTGCCTGATATGGGTCCCACCCAGCACCAGGGAACGGAAAGGTGTTTTCCCCAGATGACACGGTGATGGGGAACGGCTTTTTGGCAGCAGCGGGATGGGCATTTGCCGGATCGACTTCCCCCTCCCCAGCTTGGCTCTTCCTAACCCACCCATCCTTCTCTCCATAGGACCTGAAAATCAAGAACATGGGTTCCTGGGCAAGCTTGGTCCAGAAACACCCCACCACTCCGTCCTCCACAGCAAAGTCCTCCAGCGACAGCTTCGAGCAGTTCAAGAGGGCGGCGCGGGAGAAGGAGGAGCGGGAGAAGGCACTGAAGGCTCAGGCGGAGCAGGTGGAAAGGGAGAAGGAGCGGCTGCGGCGGGAGCAGGAGAGGATGAGGTGAGACCGTCACCACCACCACCACAGGGAAGGCGTTTCGGGGTGTCTTCACCTTGGGCAAGGGTGCGGAGAGATGTGTGCTCTCATGGCACGATCGGTGCTGGTCCGTGGCATGATCCGATAGTGTGGCACGAATCCGATCCATGGCACGATCCGAGCTCTTGGCACAAATCTGATCTCATGGCATAAAACTGATCAGATCTCGTGGCACAATCCAACCTTACAGCATAAATCCGATCCAATCTGTTGCACAATCCAGTCTCTTGGCATGAATCCGATCTGATCTATGGCATGATCCAGTCTCTTGGCACGAATCTGATCTCGTGGCATAGAACTGATCGGATCTCCTGGCACGATCTGCGCTGACCTGATCCATGGCACAGTCCAGTCTTATGGCGCAAATCTGATCCAATCTGTTACACGATCTGGTCTCTTGGCATGAATCCGATCTGATCCATGGCATGATCTGATCTCCTGGCAGGAATGCAATCTTGTGGCATAAAACTGATCTGATTTCGTGGCACAAATCCAATCCAATGGCATGGCTTGATCTGCACTGATCTGATCCGTGGCACGATCCGATCTCGTGGCACAAATCCAATCCAATCTGTGGGATGATCCCATCTGGTGGCACGAATCTGATCTGATCTAGGGGCACAATCTGTGCCAGTCTGATCCATGGCATGATGCAATCTCGTGGCACAAATCCAATCTCGTGGCACAAATCCAATCTCGTGGCATGAATCTGATCCCATCTCATGGCACGAATCCATTCTGATCCGTGGCACGATCTCTGCTGATGTGATCCGTGACACAATCTGATCTCACGGCACAAACCTGATCAGATCTCGTGGCATGAATCCATGCCGGCAGCTCTTCTCCCCCACCACGCCGTGCCGCGGTGCACCAAAACCAAGCGCTCAGCGCCAAAAATGCCCGTACCCTGGCCGTTATGGCATTTACCCCGTGTCGACGCCATGGTGTTGGGGAGCAAACTGGGACCAGACCTCGCTGTGGCGAGGGGTTGCATGAGGTTCCCGGCGCCTGACGGCATCTCCCGGCGTTTTTTGGCAGGAGCCGGGAGGACGAGGACGCCATGGAGCAGGCACGCCGGGTGCATGAGGAGGTGCGGCGACGCCAGGAGCAGCAGCAGCAGCAGCAGCAGCAGCAGCAGCAGCAGCAGCAGCAGCAACAGCAACAGCAACAGCAAGTGTCGGCGGCGGCAGCGCCCCAAGCCCAGAGCTCGCAGCCCCAATCCTCCCAATCCATGTTGGATCAGCAGCGGGAGATGGCCAGGAAGCGGGAACAGGAACGGAGGCGCCGGGAAGCGGTGAGTGGGGAAACCGGGGCAGCTCCTGCCCTGAAATCAGGAGGGATGGTGAAAAGTCTGTGGGGATGCTAAAAAAAACACCCCAAAATTGCCGGGGAAGGCAAAAAATCCTCGGTGAAGTAAAAAAAAAAATGGGCAGGGATTCTGAAACATCCCTTGGGAAGTAAAAAAATCCTTAGGGATGCCCTTAAATCCCCAGGGAAGCCAAAAAATCTTTGGGGATGCCCAAAAATCCCCAGGGAAGCTGAAAAAGCCCTGGGGATGCAGGAAAATCCCTGCAGATGCTGAAAAATGCCTGGGGATGCGGAAAATTGCCTGGGTAAGCCCAGAAAATCAAAGGGGATGCTGAAAAATCTTGGGGATGCTGTGAAACCCTCAGGGACGCCAAAAAATCCCTGGTGATCCTGAAAAATCCTTGGGGATGCCTAAAAATCCACACAGATTCCAAAAAATCCCCAAAGAAACCCAAAAATCCCTGGGGAAGCCAAAAAAATCCTTGGGGACGCTGAAAAAAGCCCCAGAAATGCTGAAAAATCCTCAGGGATGCCAAAAAATCCCCAGGGATGCTGAGAAGTCCCAGGGGATGCAAAAAAAAAAAACCCTCTGAGGATGCTGAGAAATCCCTGGAGATGACAAAAATAATCCTGGCAGTGCCGAAAAATCCCTGAGGATGCCAAAAAAACTTTTGGGGGATGTGGAAAAATCCCCAGGGATGCTGAAAAAAATCCTCAGAAGCACCAAAAAATCCCCAGGGATCCCCCAAAAATTCCTAGGGGTGCTCAGAAGTGCGCAGGGATGCTGAAAAATCCTGCGAATGCCAAAAAATTCCCGAGAATGCTGAAAAAATCCTGGGAATGCAAAAACAAATCCCTTGAATGAGAAAAAAATATCCTGGGAATACAAAAAAGAAATCTCAAGAATGCTAAAAAATTCCATGGAATGCCAAAAAAATTTCCAGGAATGCTGAAAAACATCTCAGGAATGCCAAAAAATTCCCAGGAAGACCAGAAAAATTCTTGAGAATGCCAAAAAAACCCTGGGAATGCAAAAAACCCCCACACCCCTTCAATGCAAAAAAATATCCTGGGATTGCAAAAAAAAAAGGTCAGGAATGCTGAAAAATTCCATGGAATGCCAACAAAAATTTGAGGAATGCTGAAAAAATCTCGGGAATGCCAAGAAATTCCCAGGAAGGCCAAAAAATTCCCAAGAATCCCCACAAAAATCCCTTTTCCCTTCTCTTGCAGATGGCCGCGACGATCGACATGAATTTCCAGAGCGATTTACTGGCAATATTCGAAGAAAACCTTTTCTAACGGCGCCCGGAGGTTTTGGATTCTTTTCCTCCCAATTTGACTCTTTCAGAAAAACAAAAAACAACAAAAAAAAAAAAACACAAAAAAAAATTCTCCTTTTT